AACTCACCGAATTATAATCTGCTTTAATCTCCAACGTCTACTGCCTCCTAAGGTCCCCGGGCCACTGACGACAGAGATCGAATTGAAGAAAATGGAGAAGAAACGGGCTCAGAAGGCTTTGAAAAAACAACGAGAGAAGGAGCAGAAGGAGGAGAAGAGGAAAGAAGAGCAGGAGGCGGAGGAAAAGAAGAGGTTTGCATCTCTGAGTGATCGTGAAAAGGTGAGGAAAAGGAAAAGACTATTATCGACTATATCGTCTCACTGTTTGTAAACATAAAGGCAGGTGTTATGTACTGATGGTTCAGTCAAGGTTGCTGGTACAAAAATAATGCCTTAGATCAAAATCTGTAAATGGTCAGATTTTGTTCTGATACTAGGATTGAATCAAACAAAAGTTCAAGACCTTGTTGTGTCTCCCTAGACCGCCCCAAGGGTCTCGCACCCTATGTTGAAGACTAAGTTAATAAATAATTCATCCCTGTATGGACTGCTGGCTCTGGTCTAGAAATTGTTATTGTCACAATTTTTGGAGGTGTACAGTTCTTGATCTATGGGTTTCACAGGAGTCAACATCCTCAAATGTCTCATTACTGCCACCTTCTGGGTCTATTTTTATCTACATTCGTGCAGACAAACATGCTTGTGATTTTCAACATTTGCTCCTTTTTTTTTTTACCAGAGAATTCTGGTATCAAAGAGATCAATGGAGCAAGTATCTGCATCAGGAGGCAGCCTCTCTAATGTGCAGTAAGAAAAACACAAATGCTACTCTCTGTGATCCAATTGTTATTTACAAATTCAACTAAATCCTCTGTGGTTTGTCTTGGTTTCTCGTCACCAGGAGGTGCTGGTCGTGTGGAGAGTCTTTGCTCGGCAAGGTCCCATTTCATTACTCTGAGTTTTCTTTCTGCACACCGCGTTGTGTCCAAGCACATCGGAAGGTAAACGCACCTCCGGGCAAGAGCTAACCTCCTATGATAGTTTCTACCTCATGAGAACAAACCTGTTGACTGTGGGCTGCTCTGTGACCACACTGCCAAATAGATCTTCTAGGGCTGCTGGACGTCAGCCATCTGTCAATGGAAGGTACACATCAGAATCAGGTCAGGTGATGTGTAACAGAACTTATCAATATTACTTTTATAAAATAATACACCAACAAAGAGTGATTTAATGTAAGGTTTCATGAAGAGGACCTCTAACCTGTTATGATGACATTGGTTGAAAGTATGGCTTTCTTGGCAACCCTGTCTCCAACACCAGGAAGTCAATAATATTAACAGTTGCTACAGCTGAACCGTTGCAGCAGATTTGATAACAGAGTCGAGCTGACTGACAATGCACAAGAAGCTGCCTTAAATTAAAAAAAAGTTTTGATGAGTCAGATGTACCGCGATGGTTTTACTTGATAAGGACAAACCGACTGTAGATATAAAACAATGGATGTTTGAAAGTCTTTGTATTTCATTTTCAAATGTCTGCTGTTTTACATCGAGGTCTTTGATTCGATAGACTGTGTACACATTTCCCTCAGTAATCACTCAAACAACAAACAGTATTGTACTGCAGAACTTGACTCCAGCACTGTTTTGACTCATAGTTTTGAAGTTAAAAACCTGCAATAAGGTGGTGAAAACTATTCTTAGAAATGCATTCACAAGTGTAAACAAATCATATGATCCATTTAAAATAAGCCTGAAAAAACAAATTATGCTTAAAATGAGTCATGAACTCACAGTAAAATACTGTATATTTTTGTTTTCCAATATTAAAAAGGTGAAACACTGAATTTCCTCCTATATCCCACAGGGCCAACCAGGGGTAAGGTATGTGAAAGGGGCATCTTCTTGTAAAAACATCATCTTTTTAAAGTGCTGTTCGTTGTCACACATGCAGTGCAGTACCAAGCATGACTTCCTCCTGGTCTGTTGAATTGATTTGGTTGCAGTCACATATTTGTGCGTGTTTTGTTACGATCGACCAGCTCTGACATCAAGCTGAGGCCGATCGCTGAAGATAACTTCTAGATCTGCCGGTGCTCCCTCCAGCTCCAGCACTGTGATGTTGTTGGCTGTTGTCGCACTGAGTATTGGTCCAGGGACATACAGAGTCTGCTGAGGGCCCCTGACTGGCCAGTAACGTCCCAGGTTTACTCCATTGATCCAAACCTGACCCTAATAACACAGACATGAACATCAGACAGGACAGAGTTTGTTTTTTAATTTCCTGCTATTTCCAGTTACCTTTGTCCATCCATTGAACCTGATGAAGGTGTCCAGTGTTAAGCCGTTGGGTGGGAGTGTTCCCATGTAGAAGGCAGGTCCAGCTGAGGCTTTTCTCTGGGAGCTGAGGGTCTGCGGACAGTGAGGCCACCCTCTGGTGATGGCTCCATCAATGTCCAGAGAGTAGATCTTCCAACCAGTCAGTGTGTCTTTGCCCAGGTACAGGTTGTTTACCAGGCCCTGCCGTAAACACACCCTTGTTAAATAGCAGATTATGATCTACTTATTTTTATTTATATATTTATTTTGGCATTATACTGTATGTATTTGGCTATATTCTTCATTTATCCTTAACTAATGGAAGTACTTCTACTTATTATATTGTCATGTTATCTTTGGTGATACCTTGTGATCATTGATTCTGGTGCCAAAGTTAACTCTGCCCATGTTCTCCACAAGGATGTCCAGAGTGTCCCCCTGCTGTCCTGTGATTTTTAATACTAGGTCTTTGTCTCTCTCCATCAGGCCCTGGTAAATCTGAGACAAACACACACACGCGATAATCAGCAAGAATATTTACATCGACCAAAAAGATAATCAGCAAGAATATTTACATCGACCGAAAAGACAAAGACTTGAAATTTCACATTACAAACGATTACAACGTTTGTAATGTGAAATTTCAAGTTTTTGTATTTCACATTACAAACGTTGTAATCAGGTGTGTTGTTGTTTCCTTCAAATGTGACCTGAAAACCACAGTGAACGGACAACAATAGTTCATTGTAAAGCCTTTACCCCATTGACGGACACATATGCTCGGTCATGAACACCATTCAGTGGAGAGATGAGGGGTGTGGGCGCAGAGAGGTCCCTGGGCAGCGTGGTCCGATACAGCATGTACCCATAGTACTGACAAACAAAAGACAGACAGGTTGGACACAAGTGTCTGGAACTTCTACTGTCAGGGTCTAATCCAGCCACATTCAGTGTTGGTCATTACATAAATGGATTATCATACATTTAGACATGTTTTCTGTCACAATAAAATTAAATATATACATTTAGACATGTTTTCTGTCACAAAAAAATAATATAATAATACTAAAAAAATATATTTTTATTTATAAAATTTGAACTGCTCCCAATGTATTACGTAATAATCAATAGGTAAGGTAATCAATACCACTCTACATAATACAGAAAAAACAATGCCAATGTGTGGCATTATGTTATTTGTTGTTGTAAATGGGCTTTTTTTTAGAGCTTGTAGCAGTGGCTCCTCCTGTAGGTGGCACCCTAAGCAGCCTTCTTTGCCTGGCTCTGTGTTAATTTATTCCCTGACCCACTGTCCCTGAGGGACATCGTACCTGTTTCATGTCTTCAAATGTCTGTGGATACTGAGACGTGACTGGACCCAGGGGTGAAATGCTATTTAACACATCGTTGACGTCACCCACCTGTAGGAACACCACACCATGAAACACACCTTCAACACAGTCTAATGTGGACGCCGTCAGCTTTAAATGTCCACAGTTATTACCCTTTTCAGGCACACAATTCCGTAGGCGAACTTGTCGGTGGCTGGTGGCATGGGTCCAGCAGGAACATCTCTGAACTGCAGAGGAAGTAACTGTAATAGTGAGTAACAAGTATTTTGCAATGTATCAGATTACAGTTTGAGTGAGAAATACCATTTTAATGACATCTCTGATGGCCAGCAGTTTGTCCGTGGGGTCTCCGGCCTCAGACAGCGGGGCGTCGTAATCGTAACTTGTCACAACTGGGTTGTAACTACGTTCATGATCAGCACCTGAGACATTTGGGAGGTAAATTGTACGATTAAAAAAAAAAACCCATGTCAATTACATGAACATGAAATAGTTGTAGTCCACAGGTCGCCACCTGCCGACCGCAGCCAGGAACTATTAATGAAAATGTCTAGCTGTATACTTACCATTCCAGTAGCCAAAGTTTGTGCCTCCCTCAAACATGTACCTAACAAAAGAGATTTTTAAAAAAATATTAATTGTTAAAAGTGCATTAAATTCTGTAAATATAAAAATGAATGGGTAGAGACATACATGTTGACATTAGCTCCCATGGCGAGCATCTCTGTGAGTACACTGCTGACCTTCAGAGTATCGACCACAGCGTGTTGATCTCCCCAGTGGTCCAACCAGCCAGTGTAGAACTCTGAGTTCACCTGTCGAACCTTACAAGTTTAGGTGGATGGACAGTTAAAAAAAAAAGACTAATGAAGCAGGTCACCCACCAGGGGGCCGTGAGGTTCAAACTTCCTCTGCCGCCTGAACGCTGTAGTGACATTAGTGTCTGAACAACAGAAAGAAATTGAGATAACCGTTAATTATTGTTCATTATGAACAATTTAAGATAATGCTACATCCTGAACAGACCTGTGCCGAAGTCCACCGTGGCATACAAGCCGTTCAGCGAGCCACATGTCATCTCCCTGTCTGTGTTTCCATCAGTGGTGAACAGCAGCGTTTCTCCTCCGAGGTAGAAGCGAAACAGAGTCCGCAGGTGACGCATGTAGTTGTAGTCACAGGCGAAGTAGCTCCCATATTCGTTCTCCACCTGCACACTGATGATGTTTCCGTTGTTGATATAAAGCCAGCGTTTGATTTTGGGGAGGAGGACATAGAACCACTTGTCAACTGCCTGCAGGTATTCTAGAAAGGAAAACACATGTAGTTTAGTACTAGTACTTAAAAACTGACAATATACACAAAAATACATTGGCATGAGGTTTTATAAATACCTTGATCTGAAGAGCGGAGTATCATGGTTGATTTCTGAAGTAACCACGCTGGCAACCCACCCTGCAAAAAAGTTTTGAAAAAATGAAGCTATAAAAAATAGAAATTTAAGCAGCTCACTCCTATGTATGAGAATCCACTTAAGTAGATTTATTAAATGAAAGTGGTAAACTCTACTGCGGCACTACCACTTCTACATTTATTCGACTGATCTTCTAATAAGCCGTTTCATATAAATGTATATAAATGTATTTTTTTATCAATACTAACGTGTACTGTCATAGAATAAGAACGTTAATACCATTTCCCATTCAGCACAAATGTACGGTCCTGGTCGTAAAATGACCAGCAGACCAGTCTGATTGGCCAGATCCAAGAAATGCTCCAAATCGCGGTCCCCAGTGAACTTCTGGATGCCTGGAATGGTTTCATGGTAGTTCCAGGGCACATACCTGTGGAGAGGGATTTAAAAAAAATTTAATTCATAAAGTAGTGCATAAACATGCATAAATATCCTCATTTGAGCTTACACTTGGATGGCATTAAGGCCGGCCATGAACATCTTGGTGAGCCTGTCTTTCCAGTACTGTGGAGGGATTCTGGAGTAGTGAATGCTGCCGGAGATGAACTGAAATGGCTTCCCATCTTTGAGGAAACAGTCGTTTTTATAGTCGATGGAGAATGATCTTTTTCCATTTATCTGCAATAGAAAACACACCGGTGACACTGACGACTAATATTTACAAATTTATATACCAATTTTAAATAAATAATAATAAAAACAAAGAAAATAAAAGATAAAATAAAAAATCGAATAAAAGAAAAAGAATCGAACATAGCGCAATAGGGATTTTTCGTTTTATTCTAATATTTATTCTAATATTACGTAATTACTCATGTAATTAGTCACCAGTCACTTGTGTAATTTTAGCGCAGTTCTCCAAATACTTTATTTTATATGGTGAAAAATATAACGCCAAATACAAACTAGCGTCTAACCACTGGACAGAATCATTTAAACTCTATTTTTATAATCTTACCAGGTTTGGACTGAGAGACAAACCAACCAAGATGACGCAGAGTGACACACAGACGGCCATCTTCAATCACTTCTCAATTTTCCGTCTCTTCCTTTTTAGCTTTAACCTAAAACTACTTCATTTGTTTTGCAGCTCTCACTCCTGTGTTCATGTGTTCAATGGTTGAATCACATGACCAGAACTGTCACGTGTTTATGACTGGGAGCGCCGCCTGGTCCTAAACCCCGCCACATTCGGATTATGAGGCTTACGGGATTTCGCGACATCTAGTGTTGGACTTGTGTATCGGCAGGGATTTCCCACACCAAACGTTTTCTGTCTGCGCCTGTGAGCGCCTTTTGTCTGCGCCTGTGAGGAGGGATTTCCCACACCAATCGTTTTCTGCCACTTTTGTCTGCGCCTGTGAGCAGTTGCGATCCTAGCATATTTGACATCCTGCGGCCAAAAAAAAAAAAAAAAGAAAATCCACCAACTAATTAATCCAATAAATCATCATCAAATGCGACAAACCTCTAGCTAGCCTTTGGTTAATAAGATTCAAATTTTTAATTTAATTTTAATAATTATACCAGTATGGTCTGCATGACGGTGAAAAACTGCAATAATGGCAGTTTCCTTAAAAGGACACTAGGTGGCACTTCAACACTATGTTTGTGAAAATACCTAGATGTACACATCAAAACTGAAAAAACGAAACGAAAAGTTTGTATTTTGACCAAATGGCTTAAAGTCAAATAACCGTAATGCTCAAAAAGTAAAAATTTCTTTTAAAAAAGTACTCTAAAGTACTCTGTAATGTATGTGTACCAGTGAAATTGTTCTTTATCTGAATAGTAAATATGTCACCCGGATGGTAACCATGCATAGATCACTAAATTTACCCTGTGCAAACTTGAATTCTCTTTGTACACACGAACATCGACCCATATATATTAGATATTTTGGCAGGGTGCCTCCTGTGGTTACAGAGGGTAGAGCAGATGATCTTAGTCTTAAAAATAACAGTTGATCTTAGCCTGTCACATCAACTTGGGTTTATAATAACATCACTGTCTTCGTCCTTCACACTCTCACACACACTTCCACTCAGCCTTTTGTTCACTGTAGTATTTCCTGCTACTAGATAGAGTAATTTCATTTCCGCTGCCGCCTCTTCCTCCATCAGTCTCCATCTTTAAGAAGACTGGAAGCTCTCAGTGGCTAATGGCAGCCGATTCTGACCACTGATAGGACAGTGCTGGGCCTGTGGATCATTAGGCCCCTGTCAGACACATTTAATTGTCCTGGGAATGAGAAGAGGAAAGACACACACAGGCTTGTAATTTGGTTTTTTGAGTGTGATAGTGCTGGAGTAGATCGTATCAGAATCCTCTCTTTGAAGTCTCTGAGGCTTGGAGAAAATGGATGTGGAAACCTCAAGAATCCCTTTGACTAATGTACCAGAGACGGCACCACTTACTGAGACACGAGCGCTGCAGTGGATGTCTACATCAGAGTTAGTTCATTGGACGTTGAATTCCCGTCTTCATCTTTGGACAACAAGCTTCCTTTCTAAAAAAGGAGCTCAACGGAAAGCTAATTGGGAAGTGATGTTGGGCTAAATGGCGATGAAATGTATTAATGCAACAAATGAGGCTGAGAACCAATCAGAGCTGAGTTTGTAGAAAATAAACCATAGACAGTATGAAGCCAGGAGCGGGAATAGAAATAACACACCGTTGTTCACTTTTTAAATGACAGTGTAACCCTACAGACTGGGGCCGGCCTGCACTGATTGGCTGGGTCTGCCCCTCACGTGACGGGAGACTGAAAAACACTTGCCCTTGGGTCGGGCGTCACCTCTATGAAGTCATCTCCCCAGAGTCTGTAATTAGATTGAACCGTCCCTTCTGCTGCCCCCCCTTCCCCCCCCCACTTCCCCCTAAATAAGCCGTCTTTTGTTGCCTCTGGTGGAGGCAGGTGTATTCAGATTAACCCCTGCCCCCACCCACTCAAAGTACAGTACATTTCCAACCGCACTCCACCGATTCCAACTCATCTGCATCACAAAAACCTCCTGAACTGGTCATAATGATCCAGATTTCCACTGTAAACTAATCACTCTTTTATTCTTCAGGGGATTAAAGTATTGTATTTGCCTTTTTTTTAATTAGCAAACAGGCTGTGAAGATGACGCATACTGTATATGCTCACAGAATGTAGTCAGGAGAGGTGGTGAGGCATCAACCTGACAGTAAGCAGTGTGAGTTAAAACATTTATTGGTTTATCCTCTTCAGCTTCATCCTTCTTCAAGGTCAAAGAGAAAACTGGCTCCAAGAAGAAGTCCTGACCTGGATGAATGAGAATCTTCACGGACATCCTAGACCAGAGGCCTCAAAGTCCAGGCCTGGCCCTTCCCTTCTGATTTTATTTTATTTTATTTTTATATTTATAGCTGTCATGTCTGGCCACTAAAAAGTGAAAAAAAAAAGTTCAAGTCAAGTACAAGTATTTTGTAGTACAGAAAAAATATACGTTCATTTTTACAATAGTCTGTTGCTGATGTGGCACAGATTCCAGGTTGGGTTGCATCTGAAAGGGCATCAAGTGTTAAAAACTCCATCTTTCTGTGCAGACTACTGCAGTGGCCTCACCTGATGAAGGGAGGAGTCATGGTAGTATCAGTTACCGTGGCGATCCGTGCTTCTCTCAGCTGAATCACATGATAGAAGTGAGTGATTCTGTAGAATTCCCTGCATGTCTCTGTGTCACTGTTTTTCCCATGCTCTCAGCGTTCAGTGACTCACTGCAGGATAACAATGTTAGCCGAGTCCTGAGAAACCACGCAGACCATCACATCAATGTGATTAAATATAAACAATAAACAAAACCATTCCTCCAGCATGACATCAGTCCACCGAGCCGTTGGCTCTCACTGAATGACAAAACTCAGCATTTCTTCTTACAACATTCCCAGCTGCCTACAGGAGATGGGAACAGATACTGAGCGTAAACACAGTGTGTGGGAGCAACGTAAGCAAACAGGAAGTTGACAATGCTGGGGAGCGGGGGGGGGAAGGGGGGGGTGTATGTGAGCTGGCAGTCTCTCTCCCCCATTCTTTAGGAAGGCATGATAGGTATTTGGGAGTTGGAGTACATCTGAGGGGGAATGTTTGGGTTCAGATATACTGAGAAATCCTACTGCCTACATCTGAGGGCAACATGGTTCAAGTTATGGAGACACTCAGTTTGTGACGCTAATAACCATGATTCATGTCCTTAATGTGTTTTTCTCCTTTTAGTTCAATTAATTTATTCCACAAAGGCCTGATCTCTCTGAGTTTATTACTGTCTCTGCTCAGACTGTGTTTGTTTTACTGACAGTCCTGACACCTGATTGGTTCACAGCTCGTGTCCAGAGACTTCAAATGTCCATTCATTAGTTGTCTGTGATATATATATATATATATACAGTATGTGTTCATACAGGGCCTCGGAACACAACGACTGCCCGGGACCTCAAACCCACAGGGGGCAGTGAGGAAACAATTTGAAGACAATTTAAGGAGAACTTTGTTAAATTGTATGTTGCTGATGTACCGGGCTGTTGTGATGACACTGTAACTAGAGACCAGATGCTGTTGGCAGCCTCGTAATTTAAGAGCAGAGGTTTGGGGTTCCGTGAAGATCACTCCAGGCCCTTTATGGTCTGGGTTTTCCTCTAAGTCATTTCCTACAATTTAAAGGTTTTGTTCTAATAGTGAGAAAGTTTAGTAAACTAAACTAGCATACATTTTCACATTACTCAATTTATTATAAAATAATCTATCAATAAATCCAAAAGATTAAGGCCAATATTGGAAGTGCGTTTGCCACAAGATAATTAAGATTTAGCCCAGAAATAGCTACAAGTTAGGAGACATTAGCAATGTTGCTAACAGTAGAAGGCTAAAAGACCGTTAGCAGTTGGTCATAAAAAGATTTTGCTTTTTTGTATTAAACTAAGCTGCATGTTACATGTGCCAAATTGGCCCTGGGACCAGATGTTGGACACACTTACTATATGGTACAAAAACAGTAATGTTCAGGTTCAGTGAAACTGGACTCCACCCAATCATTAGATGATATTTTATTCCTGGCGTCTCCATTAGATTTACAGAACCGTTCCCAGTCAGAGTCCAGACGAAGGTGTGACTAATGCCCTCAGCTGCTGACAGCTCCACTCTGTGGTGCCGTGACATCGACCACATGATTCAATGAGTGCGCCACCAGGACGTGTCATCGAGTGTTTTTATACAATAATGCGACGCCTCCAGTGACGGTGATCCATTTAAAATTGAATCTGCTCCGTTCTAGGTGCCGTTTTTGTCCGAGTGTTTACCTTCTGTACCTCCCACCCGTCCGTCCGTCAGTGTCATTCAATCAGATGAACAGCTGAATCTGTCGCTCTCTTCTCCAGCTCCTCCTCCTCCTCCTGCTCTTATTTAAAGGTGTGTTACCACTGCAGAACACTAGGGATTCTTGTTGGTGTCATAAACTCATTCATTCAAACATTTTTATTTTATTTCCACTGTAAAGAAAATATAATGATGTTGATCAACCTGTGGCCTGTGGGACAAAACTGGGGCAGAACTGACAGCATAGATCTTACTGGGTTTTTTTTTCCTGAAACCTTTCTTGCTACAACTGTCTTTTATCAAAAGGATTCAATTTCTGGGGAATTACTCTCTGCTTTTAATCATTCATTAAACACAGACACGCAGAAGTATTTTAGTAATGCGCCACTAGAGCTGGGAGGTTTTCCGGTGCTTACTCAACATCAGTCCTGCCAAATAACTGCAAACCCTCAGATTAAAAATGTGAGCCTTTAACCACTTATCCACATTGTTATCTGAGGAACAGGAAATGCACTTTTTTGGGCCTAATATTTGAAATATGACTTCTGTTCTTCACCAGAGATATGAACAACGAACACATAACAATGATAGAAAACTGAAATAAGAAAACATTTCAGAAACAAAGAAAATGTCCCAGTGTTTCTAAAACACTTCATCAGCCTGGAAACGTCAGTGGATGAAATGGAAATGAAATGGACATTTCCTGTCCCCACCTGGTTGTGAGGAACAGGGAACTGGAGGATCTCCTTCTGACCCGAGTGACTTTCAGGTCACTCCTGTCGTGACACGTGATCATTTGCCCATCACATGTCATCAGATGTTTATCTAAGAGAGCCGAAGGGTCACCTGACCCCAGCTGAAGTAAGTCGGCGGACCTTTTAAACGGTCTGAGGTTTATCTCTAAATCTCTGTCTGT